CCCCCTCCCCCCTGTAATTATTGCCAAATATGAAAAAAAGCGAGGCAAAGGACGGGGGAGATTAATTCCCGCGCGAGAGAGGAGATTGATGCCAGACGCGTTCCCGTCGCCCGGCGTCGCGTTGCTGCTGCAGCGCCGATCGATTCCCGCCCACCTTAACGAGATTCCTTCCTCTCTCGCTCTCCTCCGTCACTCGAATTAACAATAATAATATGCCGATACTGGCTAATTACGGTCCAGGCTCTCGAGGAAATCGACGACGCACGAGGTTTCGCTCGTTGTTTTTTCCACCCCACTTCCTCCCATACCCGCTCTCCCCCCCCCCTCTATACATATATACACACACATATACATTTATAAATATTATACATATACGCGCGTGCAGTTTGACGATGAAAGGGTCCTAGGAACTAATAGCATGTGTATGTATACATGTACATATACACAGACACGAGTGCTTCCTCTCGTAGTCGAGTCTTGCATCGGGCCTGCAGCAGTTGCGGTGCGAGTTTGCCGTAACCGGGTATCTCACCGTGTATCCAAGGGTCAACGAGTCGATTTTTTCCTTTTTCTTCTCCCTCGCAAGGCGGCAAGGATGCACTCGACTCTGGGAAAAAAGAAACAAGTCGACGAGATCTATTGTCAAACAAACAAATCGGGAAGACACCGGAGTTGTGTATATACATGTATAGAGGACGAAGCAAGCCATATGGTACCTATACGGTATAGGGTCGAAAGCCATGCACGGGGGAGAATGGTCGATTCGGCTAATGAAGTTGTTCCGCGCTGTAAACGATGCGGTTTCCCGAAGGCGACGCCTAACGAGGTGAGAAAAGTCGCGCCGGGCAGGGTCCACGTTCCCTCGATCATCGATCGGGGCAAAAGAGGCAACGGGGGGAAGAGCCCCCTTTATAGGGCCGGCTATCCAGCCTCGTATCGTCATTCCCCGAATGCTTGGCCAATTAAAGCGTATACAGTTGGGCCGAGGGAACGAGGCGCGCGGGAGTGACGCAAAAGAAACACATACAAGCGAGAGTAGGGGCCAACGGATGAATCCTCTCGCTGCCGAGGTGAGAGAAAACGAGAGAAAGAGAGATACGTTTGCGCGCTATCGGTGATCTCTTCCCTCCCGCGCCGTGCAACTCCTGATGATACCTGTGGAAGTAGGTGCCGGGCTCTGCTCTCCTCCGATTTATCCGCGTCTCTCGTTCGCCCGCGCGCTTATACCTTCACGGACGGAGAACGCGTCCCGGGAATCCGCGGTATGCGCGAACAGACACGCCAGCGCGCTGGATGTGGAATTGTCGGGGAATCCCGAAGCTCCCCTGTGGGCAGTAAAGTAGTTGGTCAGCGTCCGGAATGTCCCTCGGTTCGATTGAGCCGTGACGCCCGGGAGAGCCGAACCTATCGAACTTCTTTAATGCTCCGCGTCGGTGATGACGGGGAGGGCGCGTGTAAAGTATACCCCTGACGCAAGAAAAAAAAAAAAAAAGCTCGTGCACGCGAAAACAACTTTAAGGGGGGGTTGGAAGAAAAAAAGAAAAAGAAAAAAGGCAGCCCCGGCGTAGGTATATTATACCTGTGTACAATGAGCGAGCAAATACATGTGGCGTGATGAAGCGGCGTTTTAAAACTGCCCGAGCACGAGGAGAGGATCGTGTGTTCGCGGAAAAGTTGCCCGCACGCGAGGGTGAATCGATGCGCCGATGTGTGTGTGTGCGTGTGTACACTCGCGGAACTGAAAATGCAATACGCGCGCTACTGACGGCGACAATAACTTTCTTTCTCCTTTGCGCTCACAATGTCGGCTTCGTTAGGGCAAACACGGCGACGCGTGCGTGTCGCTCGAAAGCTCGCCCCGGTGTCTCTCCCCTCGATCCATCGTCTGGCCAAGAGAGCGTCATTTGGCTTCCCTTTTATTTTGGAAGAAAATTCGCTACGAGAACCGAAAAAAAGGATAAAAAAAGTAGACGAAGCTTTTACCGATAGGGGCCGTTTTTGCACGATTGGGACCATTGGGGATGGAGAAACTCCTTGGGCTCGCCACCCTATGGATTTATGGCGAGGAGGAAACCACGCGCGGCTTGTAATTCAGCCTCGCGTTTTCTCCATCTTGTTTGTATACATGTACGGATAAAACACGTGATACCCCGAGCTCGTGATTTCTTGCACATATAACACGCGAACTCTCCTTCGCCCGTGAAAACCATCCGACGAAGCTTCCGTCTCCCCCTGTCGTATAGTTGTTAAATCCATCAGCTACGATGATTGTACATAATATATATTCGTTGTAAACCATCTTTGTCTTTCCTTGCAAAATTGTTGGGCCGATCATCAATGTTGATCCGAAGAAGCTTGTTCACGGATAGATCGGTATGGCGAAGGAAAAGAGTGGAAGAGACGATCGATTCACCACTCAACTGTATAACACTCCGGAACATTGAGACGTCCGCGTGCAACAGCAGCGTCCACGTTGTGTCAAGAGTCGTCCCGCGAGTCCATCGCTCGTATGTGTATATAAACGAGTGGTCCGCTTATGCGATCGTCACACCCGATACGGGCCGTGCGTTTTAGTGGGCTGGACGGAAGGAGCCGAAACTGATTGATACGTGACACCTTAATCGACAGCCGGGGGAGAAGGATGACGACGCACGCCTCGGGAATCCCAAGATATCCCTCTCATCTATCTCCGTATATAAGTATTGTATAGTCTATAATACGTACATTTATTTTTTTAGATCACGTTTTTTCTTTTTCTTCTCATACACACGACTGTTCCATGAGTAATCGATGATCCACCAGAGATATAACGCAAAAGTAATACCAAAAATCACGTTTAACGTTGGGACATGGCTTTCTTTGGGTATATGTCAATGGCACCGTATAAACGCGTAGTTTCCGGTAATAGTACAACCACCAGTCCAACGTATTACCATAGACGAGCGCATCTCTCGATTTTATCAGGATCCACACGACGCTGTGCCCCGATGCGCAGAAAAAATGTAACATTACGCCCGGATCTTAATGAATTATCGTCGTAGGAAGTACAAATGGATATGTGCACAGCGCGTGTAGGATACGGCACTGGTTACACGGGTGCATGAATTTGTTATAATAGGATAATTGTGATGCTTCGCGAGGGGGAGGGGGAAGGGGAATTTGATAATTCCAGCAGTCGGTGTATCGCTGGAAAAAATCTCCGGAGGAGATCACCTACGTGTACATAAGCGAGGGTATGGAGCGTGTGGCTGATGGGATCGGCGATTAGCAAAATTTTCATACTTACGCAAATGGTCTCTTATACACGAGTACACGTATATGTACATACACGCGTGTGCGCCGGGGTAGATAATGCTTTTAATTTTTCCATTTTTTCCTTTTTTTTTTTTTTTTTCTCTCTCTCCGCGCAATGTGTTGTGTATACGCGAGAGTCATTATTTTGCAGTTGGCAATGTTGTTGGGAGAGTAATGATGCATTATTCCGGGGCGAGCGCGTATACGTGCGTATATAAGGTGTATAGGTAATAAAAATGAAAATTTTTAAATTATTAAGGAAGCATTAATTACGTGCAAGGTATACAATATTTTTATAGTTTTATGTTGTGTTAAACATCCCCCGATCCGAGAAACGATAATGGGGTGTATTAATTTCACGTGTACACCGCGCGACATTACACTATATATACGTTTTGCGGCAGGTGCGCGTGTCGCGTTGAAGAGGTGACCCAAATAGCTTTAAATTACGGGAAAAAAAAAAAAAAAAAAAAAAAAAAAAACAATTTACGATTTTCGCTTGTACACTCACGAGCCCGCCAATGGCAAGCTGTCCCCGTAATGTATATATGTACATACACGAGCGGAAGTCAGTCGCCTCGATGCATATTCAATGCCGCGGTCTACTCGTGCGGCAGAAAAGCTCCGCGAAAACGCGGTCGAGCCCTCCGTGTCGCGGTGCGCTCACGTGCCCTCTCATCGGAAAGAAGTACACGGCCGAGAGCAGGTGCGCCGAGGGAATCGGTCTTCGATGTGCAATGTATATAATATACGTATACCACACATTCGGATTCTCCCGCCAGAGTGGGAGAGCAGCTGGAGAAAAGTCGTGTCTGCGCCGGAGGGACCTTATAGAGCCAGCCTCGCGGCGTGTACGACCGACAGGAAGCACCGGAGAGGGTGCGAAGAGGTCCCCGTCACAATTTTTGGCTTTTCGCTTCTAAGTGCCTCTGATCTCCCTGAGGCCGGATGCTCGAGTTCTCAGGCCACACAAGAGCTCAGGATCTTTGCCGGCTTGGGTTTTTGGACCTTATTCGAGACCGTGATTTTGGAAGGAAGCGATGACAATGCTTCGTTAGGTATTGCATACCTAATGTGCACTAGTGTCGTCTACATTTTTAACTCGTGTCTCTTCCAATCGGGTGGAAACTCGATGAAAAAAAAAATTCTTCGTAATTTGGAGGTTTGATTGTCGTGACGAAACAACGACAAGGCCACTCCTGAACTGCGTGTAGCTGATGCATTCTAGGGGCAACGTTGTACCTCCGTCGTTATTATCCTCGCCTATAAAGTAGCGTACCAAGGGCAGTGCACACTACTAATACACGTGCACTAAATTCCGTATGGATGAGTATACACGGGTGCACAATTGTGTTTGCAAGAGTGTACGAGGTATTGCGCCACTGGGGTTAATTGCAAGGAAAAAACAATGAGAGTAAATCCCACCTCTCACGAGATAGAAGAGCACTCGCGTTTATTAAATTAATCAGTTTATTGTTAGTGTGGTACTCCTGGCGCGTCGTGTTTCGCTCATTTGCAGTACGGAAGCGAAAGCTCGAGCACGTAATCTCACAACGTTGACAATCGTGGCTTGTTTTGTTTTTCATTATCAACTGAACTCAATAAATTAGTTTCGTCGGTGCTGGTACAAACATTGGTAACATCCTCTCACGATCCATATAAATAGGTACAACCAGGTCTTTGGAGGCCAATCGATACGTACAAGGATGTTCAAGTTGATAGCGATCATAGCGCTGGCGGTGGTAATCATTGTTCTCAATGGTGCGACCATCATAGCCGGTTGGCTGTTTCCTAGACTATTCAGAGCCTCCTCGAACCACCTGGTACTCAGCCTCGCTTTTTCGGATCTGGGTGTGGGTTTGGCGACACTCCACAGACTAGCCGAACTCTTTGATCCGTCTTTCAATGACCAAAAGTACTTGTGCATACTTAGGCAAGTGATGAAATAATACGTATCGTGCCGATATATTTTTTTAAATAATTTTAAATAGAAGCAGTATAGTTTTGTTGTCCATGGATCGCTGATCATGGGCGTGCCCGTACATATTTATACCTTTCAAATATCAATTACAAAGAATATGTATCCGTAGGCCTTGATGCAAAAAAACTAACCCATTTTTTCCAAGACGATTGTATACTTATTTAAAAACTCATCAAAGTACCATTTCCTTAAAATGCCCATAATCAACGTATCCATTGGTTTATCTTACATTCATTTCTTTCAACAGGCACGTCTTTTCTTGTGGCACCTTTAGCGTCAGTGGCTTGAACATCCTGTCAATAGCTGCCGATCGTTACATAGCAATCAAGTACCCTATTCGGTATCCAAGATACGTGACCAAGGGGGTGATAAATATTGTGGCGATCGGCAATTGGTGCGTGGCTTTTTTGATATCCTCGGTACCCCTCTACTGGAACGTGTACGGCTCGACCGAGACGCAAAAGTGCGAATTCCTGAATGTCCTGCCCAGGTACAAAAATTTATAAAATCATCGCTTTTTCCTACGCTAAATGGCGCATCGTGAAAAATCCTTGTTCTTCCAGGATGTACTTCAATGTAATTCTAGTACCGACGTTCGTGATAACATTGAGCATTCTTTTCTTATTCAACTGTTTGATCTGGAGAGAAACAAGGGCGCACTTGCGTATGTCACAAGAAAGGATGCAAGAGCTCGGCTTGGACGGAAAGTGCAACTCCAGCAAGAACAATCAGGTAAGTAAGCGTGTGGTCTGCACCTACATTTCACTTCTAGGTGTTGCTATATTTATCATTTCTTTTTTTTTTTTTTTTTTTTACCTCCAGGTTGTACTTTTAGTCCTGGGCTGTTTCACGCTCTGCTGGTTTCCCTACTTGGCTCTATCGTTTATCGTACTATTTGCCGGACTCACGGGTCCTTTGAACCCGATCAAAGAGATAGCGTTTTTTGTATGCATATCCAACAGCGCTTTCAATCCGTGCATTTACGCGTGGAGTAACCCCAACATTCGCAAAGCCTTCCGTACCTCGATAGGACGTCGAGCGTCGGCCCAGGACGAGTAGGTACACTATTCGGAACGGCTAAGGTTGGAGCACAATCCAGTTCGTGCATTTTTTTCCCTTCTTTTTGTTTAACTGATGCTTGTGTTTTTTGTTTCGAATAAACACTTTTATCCAATGATCTCACCATCGGTGGATTTTCGTTCATCATATCAATTACTGTAAAACATCAGAACTGAAGTTTGTACGTACCTGTAATGTTCTAAAATTAAGGAAAATTTTACAAAATATCGTTTCAGCAACATTAACATAAACCTTTTCACCGCGCTGTCAGCAAAAGCCACTTTTGTGAGAAATCGTCTTTTTCCTTGGTACTTGTTACGCAAACAACCATTTCCCATCGACTTGCATATTTTTATCATGCAAAAAAGGGCGTCAAGGGATTAAAGAGTCCATGGAAGGTATGGCGAAGGAGGTACACCCAGCCCAACGTCTGATTACCACGGGGTGATTTCGGGTAGAGATATCGGGAGCACTATAGGCTTCTCCCGGGAGAGGAAGGGGGGAGACCCGGCCAAGGTAAGTAGCAAACGAAGGAAGTGCAAGTTTGTCAGTGGCGCGCAGGAGCATGACAAATGGCATTGTTGAATCGCGGCTGCACGCACGCGTTTCATGTCCTGCCGCCTCCTGCAGCTCGTGTATGTATGTGTGGGTGCACCTTAAAAAAAATACGAACCAAAGTTATTTAACCATAGGAATGGATTTTTGTTGCACCGCTGTCTTTTCTCCTTTTGCCTGTATAGCCTAGTTGGTTAATTAGCCATACACTCGAGCGATTGCCTGCAGTTACGCATTACACGTTCCCCACCGCGTGCACTTTTCCATATTGCAGTGTGTGTCCCCTCTTGCGTGCATCACACGTTGCAACGTCGTTTTTCCGTAGTCCCGTCGGTGTAGTGCGAATTTTTCCCTACATACATACATACATAACTGTTGCATGCGTTGTGGGAACTGACGGTGGTTTTCTGCTGGTCTTTTTTTTTTTTTTTTTTTCGCCTTACTTGGTATTCGTGTCAATAGAACTCTGCTTAATTAGTTTTTTTTTGTGTGCCTGTCGCGGGGAAAATGTTGCGTTGCGGTACCTTTATTGTCCGACGACGATTGACGCAGCTCAGCCGTGTGTCCCATGCTCTTGTTCGAAATTACGATACTTGTTGTTCAATAGCCAAAAATCGAAAAAATTGCGAACTGATAAAGTTTTTTTTTTTTTTCCAACGCAAGCCAAACAATTGAACGTACTATTGTTCGCAATTACCGCGAAAAAGCATCGTACAAGACCACAGGGTCGGGTGATGTATAGTAAAAGAGAGAGAGAGAGAGAAAAAAAATATGATAAAAGAAAAATAATATCGCGCGTATACACGTATAGGCTGACTGGAAAAAAAAGAGAGGCCCGTAAAAAGGGAAAAATTTCGAATGCACCTCCAACAAAGTGTATATGGATACTCATTAACGGAACACAATGGCGAAATAAACTTGTAGTTATAGTGTAGTGCACGCCGCAAGCCACGGAGTTTTGTGTGTGTATGTATAGCTGTATCCCCGCTGCCACCGGCATGGTTTTAGCGTAATGGCGAAACGCGAGGTACCTACGTACACGTAATGTACAAAGGGAGGAAGAGAGACGCGCTCATGTGAGAATGCGTCGAGTGCAAAAGTGTAAAGGCGCCGTATAGCTGTTTGTCGTTGCATGTAGTATGTACATTTTTTTTTTTTTTTTTTTTTTCTTGTACGCATGTACAGAGACGTGCGGCCGAGTGCAAGGTGAAAACGGGCAGTGACGGCGAGTCGTGGAGTACCAGCCGTGTGTGATGTTTTCCTTCTTTGGTGCAGTAGCGGCTCGCAAGCGAGGAGGATAATGAAGAAATAAGAAAGTGCTGCCGCTTTTTGGGTCACCCGTCGTCGTTATAATTACCGTCCCGCGAACTTTTTCCCTCCTTTTTATGAATCCCAAATATTTTTGTAGTGACACGTGCTCGTACAATGCAGGATCGTCTTATATCTTTGGCTCTACATTCATGCATCTTCCCTCCAAATTGAATTTTTTCAACTTTTCTCCCGATATGTGTCACTTATCTGTATCACCATCTCACATCCTTTGTATACCAGCACCTTAACTTTTACTCATTCAATTTTTAGTTTCCTCGTGTCTACCATATCTATCATATATGAGTATACTTATGAACATATTTGTTCGAATCTCTATGAAAAAGAAGAAGTAAAGTAAAATCAAGACTAAGAAATTCATTACTCTTACATCACGTGTCTGCACATCAAGATAATTATGGTGATGCTAGTTTTCATGACCAAATCGTTACACGTTTTAACACAACTATAATGACATAATATTAAAAAAAAAAATTGGAAAGTTTTTAAATCAATATTCAGTAAATGTACATTCATTTACGAATTACGGATTAAAATATCAGTATAAATGCACAAAAGTTCCAAAACTTTCTTTCCATCATGTACTAATAATATTTTTGAAAAAAAAAAAAAAAAAAAAAACAATATATTTATTACACCATTGAATAAAGTCTTGACATGACCATGGAATTTTACAAACATCCAGATTCATCCTTACTAATCACTACACGCCATTCAGAGCAAGTGCTCCTTCAAAGGTAGTCTAAAGTAAACTGAAACCTTACGGGTGAATAAGGTGAGACACTTGAACTGCTTTGCAATGTAGGAAGAAAGTAAGCACTTGAAGCTTTGGTGGAGTAAATAAACACAGCTTGTCTCGGCTGAAAATGACGTAACCAAAACGAGCTTGCAAGTCGTTTCTATACGTCATCTACAGGTATAGGGTATACAGTGGCAGAACAAAACGGCCAGGCGAATTACACCGTCCGAAGGAGCAGCTGCGCGGGACAGTGCGTCCTATATATATGTATAGAACGAGCACGCGTGTGCTCGGGAGACGAGAGAAGGAGAGTGCAAGGCTCCGTCGCGGGGCAGGTGAATCTTACCGGCTCTCACCTGATCCTTACCCGGCGTCGTCCCCCGATTATCGGTGGCGGAGGAAAAGCCCCCGTCCAAAAGGGGATACAAGTGTATAGCCCGGCCGACCGGTACAAGCAGGTGATGTGTGTCGATCGCAGGAATTATGGTCCACGAGCACCTACGTTGTTGTTGCTGTCTGTCTGTCTGTCTGTGTCCTCGTTGGTTGTTTTTTTTTTTTTTTTTTTCTTCCTCGATTCTTTTTTCGGGCGGCTCGACTCGCGCCACCGGTACAGTTTTTTTCCAAGAGCCCCTTAATATCATACGTATATTGCCACCTTTTTTTTTTCTTACCTGCGGTTTCGCCGCGATTTCGGAGAGAAAGCCCGGTGCTGCGTCCCGTGTGATATACGTGCCGGTGGTCTTTCAAGTCTAAAGCTTTTTCTCTTTGTCCCTTACGTTTTCCCACTTTTGCATACAGAATAACGCATCAGCGGTGCATTTGTACTTACATCCGTATGCTGTTGTTTCTGCTACTAAATTGTTTAACCCCTGTGTCATGTCGGGTCTTTTTTTTTTTTTTCTGTGAAATTCAACATTTTTGCAAAGCTGGAACATGTGAATTTTGTATTATTAATTTCTCATCATTTTTGTTTTTAATGCATTTTTTTTTATCTCATCCAGTACAATTCAGTACATCAACATAAGAAACCATACGTATTATATATTAACAATATTAAAATAAACAAGAAAAATGCTTGCCATTTCTGAAAAATGAAAAAATAAAATATTTATATAAGTGAAAAATCAATATTCATGAAAAATCCACCTGATGTTGTCGCGCAACTCAATTTGCTTGAGCATCACCTTGGGAAAAAAAAAAAAAAAAAAAAAAAATCAAAAGGGTAAAAGAAAGAGTTGGGGGTTTGATTATTCATTCGAGTATAGGCAGCTTTATATCACCTACCCATCGATATAAGTGTACGTTGCAAGAAAATAAAGCAGAACAAGGAAAAAGGAGGTAGGCCGAGAGAGACGGGACGGCCGAAAAAACGAAACGCTGAAAATACATATTTACGACTCTAGGATCATTTCCAATTTTCTCGAGTCGTTAACGAGGTTTCATCTGAATAAGGTCCTCGCGACGAGCAAGTAAAAAAGCGCCCTGATCCGCACTCCTCTCCGTCTCCTTATCCCTGTTTTTTCTTGCTCCCCATAAACATTCAGCGCCGCCCGATCTCTGTAATTACGTATACCTGGGGCGTGCCACCCCTATATAACACAGGCTATACTCGTTGAGCCTTTTTTTTGTTTTTGCAACAAGATCGATCGACGCGAACATTTTCAATCGCTCGCGTAAATTCAACAGTTTTGCGTCAAAACTTTCCCCGTGCAGGACCACCTAATTTTCTTTTTTATCCAATCCACGAGACTATAAAACGCTTTCTAGAAAGCCCTGCACTATCCGTTGTACCTATATATATATGAAAAACTGAATAGAAGAAAAAGCCAACAATCCATGCACACCCGCGACAGATCTTGGATGAGAAACTTTGGTCTATTGGCCCAAAGGAAATTTATGCCCGAAAGATCGTGCGGAACCACGGAGAGCGCGTACTTTTAACGAAACCTCCGTAGTACACAGTATCCCGTATAAGCTAATTCGATCGGACGTGCATGAAAATACACATCGATATACGATTCAGGCTGTCTGGCTGGTGTAAAAGCCGATAAAATATATTGCTTAAGGGAAACACGGAAACAACAGATCAACAGCCATAAGCGCAGCGATGCGAGATCGAAATTCGCGAGGGCATCGAGATACAGCGGCAGACGGCGCAGTGCCTTCCAAGCGCATTCAATGCAGCCGAGGGAAAGAGAAGAAGAAGAAGAGGAGATGCGAGATATTGATTTTCCGGAATCAGTGTAAAATCGGGGTGCTCTCGCGCTGTCCAATTAACGCGACGTTGGAAGAGTCGACGACTGCGGTTGCGCATCTCCGCTGTCTTGCCTTTTCTAGCCAAACGGCAGCTATATACTGGAGGAGGGCCCCCTTAATC